GGAAAGAAGCCACAATGCAATGAGGGACATTCGCAATGCTTGTTGCAGACATCATGAAGAGGGCTAACATGGGAAAGTTTATCATCAAGAGCAGGACTCCAAATAAGTTGTTGTGTACCGTAGCAGTGCATGTTAGCATGAAGGGAGGGAGCCATAGTTCAATGGTAAAGCGCATGCTATGCATGCAGAAATCACAACATGGCCAGTGAAGAGGACAGCAGGCCTGGAAAAAACCTACTGTCCAAAGCCTTAGGAATCATTTCCAGTTAGATGAGAAGCACTGGAGTAGACAGACAATTGGTTTGACCCAGTACATAACTTCCTATGCTCATAAACAACTGGTACATATAAATGGAGTTCAGCCATTGTGTTAAACCATGGTTTATCATGATGGGAATGAGCCACAGTGATCCTCATGATCCTCATACTTGTGCGCTCCCGCCTCCTCCTCTGGTGTAGCTGTGAGGAGGAGAGCAGGGACTTTGCTTCCATTTTAATGGCAGACACACCTTGTCATGTTATCTGTACCTAGACAAACAATGGTTAATCTTAACCATGGTTTATTTGAAAACAAGCAAACTTCAAACCATTCGTTATGGAAGCTCGTTTGCTTCAATGAATCATAGTTGAAGTTTAACCACAATTCAATTCTTAAGTAAAGGAGACTGCACTTAATTGAAAAAACAAGCAAACACTTCCAGTCTTCTCATGGCTGCACTGGAAGAGGAGGAGGAGGAGGAGGAGGAGGAAGGGGGAGAGGGGGTGCCCACATAAGCCAGAGGCTCATTCCCATCATGATAGTTTGTCTTAATGTCCAAACAAGCTCACTGACAATCCACCCAAGCAGCAGTAATCTCCAAGTACCAAGGCAGGGGTGTCTTCTTTTTAAATTCATTGGTGGAAGGGGAACACACACATAAAATATTCTGTCTAGTGAAGGTCTTTTTGCTATCAGTACTATTTGCAATCATAAAATGTGTATTTTGGCTCAATGGAAACAAAACGTTACCATCTGACCGATCCACATTTAGAGACTTCAATTTTGTAATGTGTGCTTTGCATTTACAGCACATCAACAACACTCCCAGACAAGTTCATTCATTCAAAGAGCAGTTTTCATTCACATAACTAGAAGCTACATTTAAATCATTCTTCCCATTTACTACATTGATTTCATTCATCCAGTACTTTGAACTGTCATTTTCTCATAACGTACAGTGCTAGCTTTAATGTACAGAAGAAGCAGATTGCCTAGAACCTGAAATATATGGAGAGTAGAGTTCAGCCGTAGTTTTCCCTGACAAAAGGATAATAGGCAGGTTTCCCTGCAGTTTTACTTGCAGAATAATAGGCCACTGAGTTAAGCTATCAATCTTCCTAGAATAGAGGTGGGAAAACTTTTTGGCTCCACAGGCCAGATCCTTATCTGGTACCACCAACTCTGAGCCAACTCTGCCGAGTAGGACAGACCCCGCCTGTCAATCACACATCATTATGACACCACAGGATTGACACCCACACAGCAGCCAGCTGACTTGGAAAACCCTGAGCAAAAGGGCAGGCTGTGGCTCCCCCACCCACTCAGCTGGTGGGACGTAGGGCCAAAACCTCCTTTCCCTAGCCAATGCACAAGAAGAAACACACCTTAAGGCTCATGATTGTGCACTGGCAGCTGCGTCTCTGCCTGCCCCATCACTTATGACATCAAGTGTGGGGAAGGTGGGCATCGTTCCCTTGAAATTGTCATGAGATCTTATTTAATCCTAGAGAAATTTGATGTCCCATGAGATCAAAATTTGTTCACGTTTCTTAATTTTCATGGAACACCAGCAGTCTTTTATTATTATTGATTATTCTCGTTTAATAAATATCCCTTTTAAAAGTACTTGTAGTGAAGGGCAAGAGGCTACATGTGGCCCATATTTATATTTTTATGAAGAGAATTATTTCCTCTAACAGCAGTGTTCTCACGCTAAGACAGGGGAAAGGTTACTGGGAGATTGCTTCCCGTGGTCCTGGTGAAGGTTGCTCACCATTCAATAAACAGGTGCAGATGATTTCTTATGATTCCCTTTCATGTTTGGTAGGTTTTGATAGTTCAAAGCAAAAATTTAAAAATAAGTGTCTAGTGTCTGAAGACTTCTCAAAGCACAAAAGGAAAGAACAGCAGGAATTGCACTTTCAGCTCCAATTTTCTTGGCTTGGGTGACTTTACACAGACTTTACAACAATTATTTTCAGCCATATTTTGCTCCCAAAACCATCCACGAGGCATGTTTCTGGGAGCAAAAGGTATTCAAGCAGAAGCAAACTGAGGAAACAACAGCCAACTGCTCTCCTTCCATATTTGTAGTTAACTGAGAGATGAATCACTTTGTAGTGGGAAATGATATTTTGTGTGTGCACAAGCAAGCAAGCATATATTGCCATAAATATATGTTGAAGGGAAATACCATAACTTATTCACACGTACAACTTTCATAACTAATACATTGCATACACATTTTCTATTTTAGAAATAAATATAAGTAATTGTTTCTGCTGGGACATCATCACAACCACTGTAGGAAGGCAGGTCAGCTCCAAACAGTAATGCCGTTACGAGGGCTATGGCACCTGCCTGCAAGTCCATCTGGATTTACTTTTTTGCTCCACCAAGTATCACGCTTGTCTATCAAAACCTCTGAGACTGCCGGAACACTGGCGTTCCTCAGATCTCTTACCTAAAATCTCTGACAGAATCATTTCAGAACTACTAAATTCCAGAGACTACAGCAGAAGACACCACCGCTCCCCAATCTCCCAAGACCTGGCAAGCTTAGATATCTGCAGGCCAGCCAGACAAATGATATCATGCTATTCTACTTTGTTTAAATGGGCAGCCACTGAGTCGTGGCAATGTCACCTTGACTGAGACCAAGAAGCCTAGAGAATTCATCTCATGCCTGTTAAAGGCCAGGCTGCAGCAGCAGGTCATTTCAGACTTCTTCCTGATGCCACAAGACTGAGCAGGAACAACACCTTAAAGAAATCTGATCATAGTAGCCTTTTCTTAGCAACAGGTGTCTAAGAAGATTCACTTTGGCGGAGGAGAGCCCAGACCAGGGGTCAGCAACCTTTTTCAGCCATGGGCTGGTCCACCGTCCCTCAGACCATGTGGTGGACCGGACTATATTGGGGGGGGGGGATGAACGAATTCCTATGCCCCACAAATAACCTAGAGATGCATTTTAAATAAAAGCACACATTCTACTCATGTAAAAACACGCTGATTCCTGGACCATCCGCAGGCCAGATTGAGAAGGCGATTGGGCCGCATCCGGCCCACAGGCCTTAGGTTGCCTACCCCTGGCCCAGACCCTCCATCACTGACAGCTGGTTCCCAAACATTCTGAATCTTACAGTTCTTTGCTCCCACAATTAGGCTGATTCCTGGGAACGCCAACCATCACTTGTAAAAGATCTTTGGAGTGGTCTGAGAAAGCAGAGCCTTGAACACATTGGACTTCTGATCACAATCTCTCTTTCTATACAATTTTGTTGGTGGTTATGGTCCATAGTATGAGCCACACTTTAAAGAACTGATCACCTGAGCAAAGGAAAAATGTATTAAGAAGCCAAATAAACCAGAAAAAGTGGGAAAGTTATCTCCAGGGCAGTCTTAAAGGGACTGTGACTGGATAAACCACTATGTCTGGCAAGGATTGAAGATGGCATATTGTCTGTCCCAAAAATTCCATCACACCAAGTGATGAAGAAACAGAGTGAATGCAGATGAATATGGATTCCCAAAGGTTGAGATCACCAGGGACATGCCCTAATATTGTCTCCTTTACTCTCGTAAGAGTGGATAAAGCCATTCAGTTCTGTGGGAGAATATAAGATGCTGCACTGGGGGACACTAGCGATGAGGTCAAAGCATGTCCTCTACTGCTGACACCCATGGCCTAGTCCTCACTGGTTGCTAGAAGTATCCGTGTGCACAGTATGTAGAGATCTACTGCCCTTTCCCCACCCACCAAGTTCCCTCCCCAAAGCCAACCATCACATGCTGTAGTGGTGGCTAATGATTTCGAGGGCTCTGAAAAGAGGATTAGACAAATCCAGAGGCTAAGGCCATCAGTGGCTCTCAGTCATTATGGTTGTGTTCTGCCTCCACCCTTGGAGGCAGAATGTCTCTGAGCACTGGCTGCTGGGAACTGCAAGGGGGGAGAGCACAGCTGCACGCAGGGTCTGCTTGTGGCCCTCCCATGAACGTCCACTTGGCCACTGAGAGAACAGGATGCTAGACTAGATGGGCCAGGGGCCGTATCTGCCCGTGTTATGAAGGGGCACTTTGCTTGTGTACAGTATTTGTCACACTCAAATCATGACTACCTACTATTACTTCCTGCCTTCTAAGCAGCAGCATGGTTACATTTAAGATGCTCAGTGGTTCTGGATTTCCAATGCAGTGTCCATCAATGGAAGAAGGTTGTAGTCTACCACCTCTGAGGTTTCTTGGGCACATATTTGGCATTTGCCATCCATCACAGTAAGCAGTGGAACACAAAAACAGCCAAATCACATTTCGTGAAACCACAGGTAAAATGGGTCAAGACCCCTCCCCCCATCAAGAAGGCCCTGACTTGGGAGGTGAAGAGGCGGTCAGTTTAGGGGTTGTGAAAGTGCTCTCAATATCCCCAACTTCACTCACTTCAGACTCTTGCGCTGGTTGAGGAGAAGCCCCAAGCTGCCCCTGGGCAGGCAGTGACACAGATTTCTGTGTCTCATGACCAGGCCCCCAGTGCCATCTTGGAAGGAGTCTCCAGAGAAGGGCTGGGGGAGGGGTGTCAGATGAGGCTCCCAGGCAGGAAAGGCCCAGGCAGGGGATGCCCCCCCATCGGGCACTGGGAAAGGGTTGACCCTGGGGGAGGAGAAAGCCACTTTGCCAGAAAGGCGCGGCTTGCCCCATAGGAGTCCCTCGCAGGCACCAGCACACACAAACACAACTCTGCGGAATGGCATCCGACCAGAAAGTCTGGAAACAGACGGCTAACTACCAAACTGGAAAGGGGGAAGTGCCGCCGCCACATGGGCGAAAGGCAACAGGCAAGCAGAAGAACCGACGCAAGCGGTTCTGCCAGTTTGCAAAATAGTCTCAAAGTGCAGGGAAGCGCCGGGGGTCGCGAGCTCCTCTGCTTTGCAGCCCCAAAGTAGTCCGGAGCCAGGGGGTAAAGCTGAAACGCAACCCTTTCCCGTGGAAAAAAATAACTAGAAAAGGAAGGGGGTTCTCTCTCCTTGCCCTCGGCCTCCACGTTCTTCGGTTCAGATCAGTGGCGGGGCAGCAATCCCGGCCTCCCCCCCCCCCGCCCCGTCCGACGGCCAGCAGGCGAGGAAGCGCCCCCGGGCTCGCCCCGGCTCGGCGGCCCCTGGCGGGGAAGGCAGCGTCGAGGCGGCTGACAGCCCCGCAGTGGCGCTCCGGGCGGGCCGGGCGCCGCGCTAATCCGCCGAGCGAGAGCCGGCGCGACGTGGAGGGTCAGCCAGACCCAGCCGCCGCCTCCAACGCCTGGCTGGCTGCAGACACCGCGGCTGTAACCTGGGAAACGAAGCACCGATTAGGCGGCCCGGGGGGCGGGGTGGGGGGGCGCAGGGACCGGAGAGGCGGGAGGGAAGGCGGGCGCGCAATAAATCCTGCGCCCCAGAACCTGGCATCTCTCCACCTCCAGATAAGGATGCGGAGAGGCGGGCGGGGGGGGGGGAGATTGAAGCTCGCCAACAAAACTTTGCTCCGCAGCGCGCGCTCCCCGCGCCCCCCGAAACAGCACCGAGACCCCGCGGAGCGGCCGAGGGGGCGCCACTTACGAGAGACGAAAGAGCCCGCAGCCGGCGGCCTCGTCCGGAAAGAAGGCGCTCTGGTCTCTGCCCCGGCTTGGGCGGGGGGGGGGGGGACCCGACTTCGCCGGGGGGGGGGAGCCCGCCCGCTTCGACGGCGGGGGGGGGGACACACACACCTCCTGTGCCGCCGAGCTGCTGAGACCGCGCGCGGCCCCCACCCGAAATCCCCGCTCGCTTTTTGTCTGGAGCCACTGATCTGAGACCGGCGTGGCGGCGGCTGCTGCAGGAGCCGCGGCGGCGGCGGCGGCAACACCTCCCCGGAAGGCAGGCAGGCAGGCAGGGAGAGAGGGAGGGAGGCGACGGCGAAGGGGGCCGGGGACCAGAGGACCTGCGCCGCCCCGCCGGCAGCCCCCGCCGGGAAAGGCCAGCATTTCCCCGCCGCAAACTTTTCCGCGGTACTTTCCTGCCTCCGCCCCGCATTCGCGGGCGCAGCCAAAGAGAGGAGGAGGAGGGGGCCCTGGACTCTTGCACCTACCCGAAGCCGAGCGAGCCGGAGCCGAAACAGGAGCAGCGGGAGCCAGGAAAGAGGAGGAAGCGGAGCAGCCGCCGCCGCCGCTCCGGGCAGTCCGGGTGTGCGCGTTGCGCGCGCGCTGCCGCCCGCCCGCCCGCCGGATTCCAGGTCCCGATCCGGAGCGCGCGCCGCCCCGGTGAGGTGGCGGGTTTTCTCGGCACCTGCCCCGAGGTGGCCCCGCCGCGTCCGCCTGGCGCCTCAGCCGGGGGGGCTGCCCAGCCCGACGCATGCAAGGCAGAGCAGGTCGGGGGGGCGGGCAAGTGGCGCAAGGCGGGCGGCCGCGGGCGGAGGCAGCCCTCGATCGCTCGCTCGCTCGCTCGCTCGCTCTCGGCCGGAGCCGCTTCTCGGCCAAGCCACCTCTACAGCCTCGCTCGGCGAGCACCGGCGCGGGCGGACGACCACATTGCAAAGGGCGGCCGCTTGCTCTTGCTGCTGCTGCTGCTGCCGCCGCCGCTCTCGCCGCTTTCCGGGGCTGGAGGCAAAACCCGGACCGGACTTCAGGCGCAGCGCCCTGGCAGCTGGCCGCTCTGCTGCGCCTCGCCGCCGTCCTCCGCTCTTCCTCCAGGTCGCGCTCTTGCCGGCCTGGTCCCGGGGGCTTCCATGGCGGGCTTCCCTCTGCCTCCCCGAAGCCCCAAGCCCGGGTCAACTCCGCCGGAGACGCTCGCCTCGGCCCCCGGGTCTCCCCCCCTCTCTGCTCGGCGCGGACGAGTCGCAGGGGCCGCGCCGCCAGGTCCAGCCCGCTCCTGCCCGCTGCTCACCGGCTCGCCTTGGGCCGCGCGCGCGCGCTCCTCGCCCGCCCCCTCGGGGGCTCCTCTCCCCCCTCCCGCGCGCGGAGGGCAGGCCGGCAAGCATGTGGTCTAGTGCAGGGGCTTCCCCTTTAAGCACACGCGCACACATATGCACACACACAGATACGCGCGCACACACAAACAAGCCAAAGTAGGATGCAAAACTTTGAAGCGCTGCTAGTTGCAGGAGCGAGCGGAGCCTGCGCCGCGCCTCCAAATGTACTTCGAGAATCGTGCAAACGCAGCCTGCGGGGGGCGTCCAGCTGCGGGCGGGAAAACTCGACTTGGGCTCCGAGCAGGACGGGGCGCCGCGGGGGAAGCTCGGGGTGTCAACACCCCCCGCCCAAAATGCAGCGCAAGAGCGCGCCGTAGCCACTGACTCTGGTGCATGCTGTGAGGAAAGTAGCTTTGGATAACTGCAGGGCTATCTTTAATGCTATATTTATTACACACACTAGCACGGGTTTAGCTCGTTTTAAAAAAAAAAACACGCACAAAAATCCAGAGATGGAAGCCACCGGGGACGCACCAGGCGAAGACCGAGGGCCAGCTATTTATTGCTGGGACTCCCCTCAGCTGCCATCTTCCCCTGAGATCGGCAAGGTCAGATCCCTGAATCCACCCTGATCTTTCTCGATTCCAAGACCCAAGAGGAAAGCGACGCGTCGCGCCAGTGGAGAGGGGCCTCCATTTTCTCTTTCCTCCGCCGCGGCGAAGAGTTGCGCCGCGTCCTTCCTGCTGCGCCCGGGGGCCGGGAAGCGGCCAAAGCGCAGCTCCTCCCTCGGCGCGGGGAGCGGGTGGGTGGGCTCCCGGGAACCAGACCCCTCGCCCACCCGAGAGGGACTGAAAGCCGAGAGCGGAATCCTTCCGGTCTGGCCGGCTCTTCAGTACTTGCCCGAGGGCCTGGCGGGGAGGAGAGGGGGCAACGGCAGGATCCAGTCCGAGCCTTGTGCATAAGTGGGTGACACATGCCCGGAAGACACTGCTAAGCACGGAGTGACAGTCACGCAAAAGCCCAAGTTAGGCAGGTTTCAGTCCCATTGTTTGCAGGTCGAGAAACTGAAGCATGTGCTTGCTTTTGACTGGATCTTGCTCAGCAAAATAGTACCAGCTATAAAGTCTTAAATGTTATAGCCATTTTAAGGGTCTCAATATCTGGTACGATAGATGTATGCGGTGCTATTATTTTTCAGGGGTACTCAATGGTATGCAGTACCGACACCTCTTTTTTGTTGATAAAAAGTGTGGAACCTACTGTAACAACTTCATGGTGAGTTTTCTAGAAACAGCACCTAGTTTCCTAGAAAAAAGTGATGAGAGCCAGTGTGGTGGTGTGGTAAAGAGCAGTGGACTCGTAATCTGGGGAACTGGGTTCGCGTCTCCGCTCCTCCACCTGCAGCTGCTGGGTGACCTTGGGATAGTCACACTTCTCTGAAGTCTCTCAGCCCCACTCACCTCACAGAGGGTTTGTTGTGAGGGAGGAAGGGAAAGGAGAATGTTAGCTGCTTGGAGACTCCTTCGGGTAGTGATAAAGCGGGATATCAAATCCAAACTCTTCTTCTTTATGTATGTATAAATAGGTAAAAACTGATTTTTGAATCTAGGTGCTGTACAAAACATTTAAAAAGACAAGATCTGCCAGCAAGTAGATTTAATTTAATGATGTATAATCTAGTTTAGTAGAACGATGGTGGTTATTGGGTGGGCATATCAGGCTGTATGATGGGTGTCTTTGTTGATGAATCCTTCCGGCAACTGCCTGAGAACACCCACCCTCACCTCACAATAGCATATAAAACAATAATCAAGGAAAAGTCAATAAAAACAACATATAGCAGGAGAGGCAATAAGAGCAAACACATTGGCAACAGAAGGATGAGCAGTTAACCATTACCTGAGTGAAAACTGACTGGAATACAATCTAAGAGCAAACAGTTGAAGGGCAACTAGTTCCAAATCCTGGGAGCCACCACTGAAAAGGCTCTCTCACTTGTACCCATCTAGCATACTTCAAATAGTGGCAGGCCTTAAAGAAAGGCCTCCGCCAAGGATTTCAACCTGCAGGTGCATTTGTGGTCCCTCTGTTTCCTTGGTCCCAAAGCAACTAGGGATTTAAAGGTTAAAAACAAAACAAAAGCAGCACTTTGAATTAGGCTTGGAAACAAAGCAGAGAGCCAACGAAGATGGCATAAAATTAGTGTAAATGTGCTCTTGGATGAACTCTCAACTGTCGCTGCACACCAAGCACATTGCAGTAGTTTCATCTTGATGTGTCACAATGGCCTAGTCTGCCTTGTCTGGGAAGGAGTCAGCAGCTGGCATACCAACTGAACCTGTCCTCTCCTCCGAACCCAACGATATTTGAAACTATGGCATGGAAGCTAAGCCCCAGAAAAGAATGAAAAGCTCGGCATGGCATCATTTAACGTAATAATGGGAGAACAACCCTGCTGGATCAAACCGGGGGGAGTTCTGTCCACCTTCCCATTTCCAGTATTTCAAAGTGCACTTCTTCTGAACATGGAGGCTTCATTGAGCTATCCCGAGGAGTCCCCAACAGCTATTGACAGGCCTATCCTTCATTAATTAATTTATCTATTATTTATTTAAAAGCATCTACAAAGTCCTTAATATTTCAAAAGTCTCTAAAAGTCCTTTAAAAAGCAACCTAAATTTATGTCAAGGGCTTGCATAAGCTAATGTTGTGCAAAGCCCTTTCTCTTGTCTGCTCTGACCCTTCCATCAGCTAAATTCATTGGGTGATCCTGAGTTCTAGCGTTTTGGCTGTTTCACTCAGTCTCACGATCCTTCGGTGCTGTTTGCATTTTAGTCTCCGTCCTCTAGTTTTAGGGTCAAAAGGTCATGTGACCTCCTCCAAGCAAACGTGAGGCCAGTCGATAATTGCTGGTGCCAGAAGTTATTGACTTGGGTAAAAAAAACAACTGGGTGAAATTCTTTTCAGGACATATGAGCCGCTCCCTCTCATAGTTGTCTCTTATGGGAGCAACAGAATGTCTTCTTTAGTAGACAATGAGAGGAGCTCATTCATGTAGGGGAGAGATAGATAGATAGATAGATAGATAGATAGATAGATAGATAGAGATAGATAGATAGATAGATAGATAGATAGATAGATGATAGATAGTTGTGTGTGTGTGTGTGTGTGTGTGTGTGTACACAATGCATTTGAAAATGCACACCTTTGTGTTCCCCATGGCAAAAAGTCTTATCCAAATGAGAAGCATAAATTCTAGCAAGCCAATCATAAATAAGTCTGGAATGAATTTTACAAGCTAAAAAGATATAAAATCCAGTGCTTTTTTTCTAAAACAAAACGTTTAGGGGTACTCTCATTTTGACTCAAGAAATTCACCATTTTATAGTTCAAATCGGGAAAAATAAATACAGTAAATGGACAAAAGTACAGAGATTCACAAAATGTTTAGGTGTATGCATACCCCTGCGTCCCCCTAGAAAAAAGCACTGATAAAATCTAATACAGAATGTGCATGAAAAGCTGGAAGGCAGGTACAGCCCATTAGATGACACCTGTAAAGAAGAAGAAAATGTTGAAGGAAAAGATGGAAATTGCTGGTGAACATGCTGGGTCGATACCCATGCCTGAACTAGGTTCTAGGTTTTGTTTTCTGGAATAAACCTAAAGTCCTGTGTCAGTACAAGCTGGCAATGGAAGTCATTTCAGAAGTAACTGACAAAACAAAGTGAAGAACTTCAATGTGAAGCTGTTGGTTTTCAATTCAGATATCTAACATTACTGAGAACTGCAGAGATTTTATTTCTTTATTTATTCACTTATTCACTTGTTAATTTACATTCTACTGCCCCAAAGGATAAAATAGAAAATATTTAATATTTTGAATATCCTTGTTGCTGTAATTTATGTGGCAATTTATATTATATGTTTGTATAGTATTCGGCCCTGTGCCATTTCAATATGATTAGTTTAAAGGAATTCACATACATCTTTTTCAGGTGCCTCAATACTTTCTCAGAGCAAAGCAGGGCCAGCCCAGCCACCAGGCAGTGGAAGCCCCCCATAGCAGTGCCCCCGCAGGCACCCTGTTTGCTTCTCCACCAGTGGCCGAGAAGCGGGGCTGGCATCGCCACCAGTTCTGGGCAAGACCTCACCAGTTTTGATGCTGGAGCTGCTTCTCTTCCAGCAGTGGATGTGGCAGGGCGATTGGTGCAGACGACAGGTCTGGTGGCGCTGGTGAGGGGTCAGGGCAGGGGAGCGCTTCTTGTTTTGCCTCAAGCAGCCAAACAGGATGTGCTGCCCCTGGACCCAAGGCATTCTCGTTGCCCATTAGCTCATCGCCTTCACCTTCTACACCAGAGCAGGCTTTAGCACTGCTGGGATTTGGGTTTTCTTTATTAGCTAGAAGTGGTATTAAAAAGGAGATTCCGCACAACACTTGATAGAACACCATACAACAACAACAATTTATTATTTATACCTCACCCATCTGGTTTCCCCAGCCACTCTGGGCAGCTTCCAACAAAAGATTAAAAATACATTAAAACATCAGTCATTAAAAACTTCCCTAAACAGGGCTGCCTTCAGATGTCTTCTAAACATCAGATAGTTGTTTGTTTCTTTGACATCTGGTGGGAGGGCGTTCCACAGGGCGGGTGCCACCACCGAGAAGGCCCTCTGCCTGGTTCCCTGTAACTTGGCTTCTCGCAGGGAGGGAACTGCCAGAAGGCCCTCTGAGCTGGACCTCAGCGTCCAGGCTGAACGATGAGGGTGGAGATGCTCCTTCAGGTATCCTATTCAGTGATGCCCTTCCCTGCGACCAAGATTCTTCTCTACTGTTTCCTCTAGAAGCAAGTCTCATCAAGCAGTGGCCCCTTACATCATTAAAAGTTAATTAAACGTTTCCAGCTTGTGGGGACAGCCTTGTCTAGTTCCATTTGAAAAACAGAAATATCCAGACCTGTGACCATTTACCAATATGATGAATTTAGGAGTAATGAAAGAGCTTTAAAGATACATAGTACAAAAGCTCCTGGGCACTCTTGTCTGCTATTTGGCAGGTTTCTTACCCAAGGGTATCTCTCACGTATTGCATTTTACAGACCAATTGCCCCTCCAAAGAGAAAATTAAGTGATTGTTTCCTTTTTTTAAAGTGCCCACTGTATCAGCTACACTTGTGGGAGCTTACTGCAGTTATCCACCTGAAATTTGGCAGGATTCATGCTCCCCAAGAAGCAGTTACAGTTGAGGATCCTTGCAACTTTTAAAAAGGAAGGAGTCCGTGCACCTGGAAGTATGCCTGCCTTTTCTGTGTGATGCTTGGCCCCTTAAAAGGTCTCTGCAATTACACTTCATCAATATTCTTTTCTTCTCACCTTTATTTTCCTGGCCTCAGCTTTGCATCACCAATTCTATGACTATATGAAGATGAGGGTAACTATTTGGCTTTGTTCTGAAAACCTTCACGAAAACGACAGTTAAAACTTTGGCACAGAGCCACTACCTGCCTAAGGATATTCTTGGCTCCCCTGACTATTTGACAATATCTGACTGGTCAAATAATCAGCAGGCAACGGGCATTCTTTGAGTGGCCAATTAACTAGTCTCCAACCCTAGTATTTAGTTGGTATAGCTGTTCACTTTTGATGAGTATCTGCCAATTCACAGTGCTAGTGGAGTCACCCTGCTACATCTTCACCACTTTACTAGATCTTCAGATAAAAAAGGCCTTACAAATCAGCAACACACAATTAAGTTTTCAGATTCAAATCAGTTGTTGCACCCCTATAATGTGTAAGGTGACCTTGAGCAAACTTTCAAATGTCCTTAACCTCAGGAGTGATTAAAACAGCACACTCTGTGATGGATAGATATGAAATGCTTGCACTTGACATGTGCCGCTAAGTAAAGGTTCAGAATTAAGTGTTATACTGCCATTTTATTCTTTGATAGAAGATGGCATTCTTGCTGCACTTTAGCCATAGTGAGTAGGGCTAGTATTGTTGACACCTTTTAGTGCTAGTATTGTTGATACCATTGCAGAGAACTCAACACACAAACACCCTGTATTTGGAGACTGCTGTTAAAATCTATTCTCTCCGCCATTAGGCCCACCATTGCTATTTAGTGGTTGTGTGTAACGTAGCCGTGTGATTGTCATAAGCACCTCTTTAAGAAACCCTTAGGCTCTGATGTTTTGGAGTATTTTAAACACTTTCATTTTGAAATGTTATTTTGTGCTGGTGTGGTGAGGTAAAGTGAGACAACTGCCTCAGGCGGCAGATCCACAGGGGCAGCAGATCCCCATGTAAATCTTTATTCCCTGCTTTGTTCTTGATAATGGATCTTCACTCACCCCTTCTTTCCTGGTGGGGATGGGAGAGCCATTTGGTGGTTTGCCTCAGGTGCCAAAATGTATTGGGCTGTCCCTGGGTGTGGCAGTGATGCTATGGAGGCAATTGCTTCCTTTGGTCTTTAAAACAGTCATATTTGTGGAAATCTTCCCATCACGTACATGTATCTGCAATGAAACAAATATGCGAGTGACCACCGTGCTGGATCAACACACAGTTTTGACACTGAGAAAGCATTGTGTGTGAAGCAGGCCTCAGGTGCCTGGGAAGACGATGAGCCAGGGCATGCTTCACTTCTCATTCCTTTCCACACCACTTGGTCTTTGAGCTGTTTTACATAGTGCTGTACAGTACAAATGCTAAAGTGCATGGAATAACCAGCGTGTGAGTTTCCTTATACAAATTATAATGGGCAAGCAGAGGTATCAATACTGAAATGAATCAAATGTATGTTCTTCACTTCCCAGCTTTTGAACTATGCCCTGCTCAGAGCTCACACTGGAACATGTCTAGAACATGTTTACAAAATCAGTTCAGGATGGAGACCATTAGAGGCAAGCAAGAGTTGGTGGTTTGGAGCCATATGTGAGGCAAACACGTTAACAACTGTGCACCGTACAGAAACGTGTTCTGTATGTGCATTAATGAAACCAGGGTGCCAACTTGAATAAAATATTGTGGGGGCCCAGGTAAGCCCACATCATCGATCACATGATGCAGTGCACACACACTATTTGAATGGGAATGCCCATCAACTTTGTGGAGGCCCCTCAAATATTTTATTGTGGGGGCTGAAGCCCCCGCAGCCCCTAGGAATTGGCCCCAATGAAAACTAAAGATAAAGCTATCTTCATCACCTTAGAGTTAATATAAAAGAAAAATTGATTTACTATTGGTGGTATATTTTCAGTAAAGGTTTTGTTTTTGGGAGTTACTTTTTGTTTAATCAGTAAGGAGTGCATATTTATGCACCAAATATTAATCGCTCCATTATAAAATTAAATAATTAAGACATTTGACTTTTTTTTACAGGAAAAAATAGTAAGTGATGGCGATTGGAATTTAGAGATTAATCCAATGTGAGATAACAGATCTGTCTCTTTGCCCACAAAAATGTGTGCAAAATTTCAAAAGTATTTTTAAAAGAATGAATCTTTTATTTGGAAAATATATGTGCTATTATGTGATAACAGTATTATGGCAATTGCTTTAAATGTTTTAAACCTCAGATCAATCGGTTTTATTGTTTATGTAGAGAATTATGCAGAAATTCTGGTTTAAATATGTTGGTTGTTTGCCATAATAAACATTGATTGATTGATAAAATGTTTTAAATTAATGGCAGTTTTTGTTTTCTCACACCAATATGTTAAAGGGCACAAAATTAGGTTAAGGGAAACCTAATTTCTTATAAATAATTCACCATGTTTACACAAGGAACTTATTTAGTAAAAACTGGAGGTTGAGAAGTTAAGACAAAAAACATAAGCAAACAAACAAACAAACAAACAAAAAACTTAAAGGAAATATCAGCAAAACAAAAATAGTGTATTAAAAACACACTTTTTTATGCCTTTGTCCTCCTCTACAATGTGTCCGTGTCTCGGATTGTGAATATGTATGTCTCTTAACAACCAAGCAGGATGGCCATTTATGTTCTAGCTCACAGAGTTGCACTATTTTCCTTCTGGGAAGTTCTGGATACTTGCAACTGCCTGATATTATGCATATTTATTTGTATGCCCCACTTCTTGAGTGGGACTCATTGGCCTTAGCTTTGAAAAAAGTGATCTTGCATAGTAACTGTATGTGCAGAGAGAAAGCAAAACAGAAATCTGTGTCATGTCTCTGAGCAGATACAACTATGCAGTGCAAAAGGCGTGTGGGCTGCAGGACCAAGGATTCTGGGCTCTGTTAAAGGCTCTATTTAGTTGCAAGCCAGTCTGTTTTAATTGTTGCAGCAACCAGTTAGTTGCATGGTTATTTGGGAAATACATGGATTTCAAAATGAGTAAGCTGATTTAAATAAGTGAATCACATCAATCTCTTTTTCTGGATGATTTAGATGAATGAAATAATTGTCAAGCTTTAAATCAATCCAATTTTTGAAAATAAGTTCTGAAAACCGCTACCAACATTACAGGCTACTGCCTGGAAATAGATCCTCAGGTGATGGTGGTAGAAAGTGGTTTAAAAGAAAAAGATCTAAAGGTAAAGGTAAAGGGACCCCTGACCATTAGGTCCCATCGCAGTCAACTCTGCGGTTGCAGCGCTCATCTCGCTTTATTGGCCGAGGGAGCCAGTGTACAGCTTTCGGGTCATGTGGCCAGCATGACTAAGCCGCTTCTGGCGAACCAGAGCAGCGCACAGAAACGCCGTTTACCTTCCTGCCGGAGCGGTACCTATTTATCTACTTGCACTTTGACGTGCTTTCAAACTGCTAGGTTGGCAGAAGCAGGGACCGAGCAACGGGAGCTCACCCCATTGCAGGGATTCGAACCGCCAACCTTCTGATCGGCAAGTCCTAGGCTCAGTGGTTTAACCCACAGCACCACCTGCATCCCTTTTAGATCTAAAGATAGATTATGTGTAATGTCCAGACCAGCTGTGGAGCCATACTATGGCAAGATCCACCTGGATGAGCAGTTTAGGATCCTGCAAATCTTGGCAGATAAACCAGTGGAACATGCTCATCGCAGCTCAGCTGAAGCTTCTGAAGGCCTCTGGAAATCCCAAGACAGGGGCCTTCCAGTGACAGGACCAGAGCCAGGAGACTTAGACCCATTCACCTCAGGATAGGACCCTATTTTGAAGGCTTGTTTTCCCTCTGCCAGGCTTAGACGGAGCAGCAGCAGCCATGCTGCTGAACATGGTCGATCAGTTTACACCAGCTTAATTTACACCAACGTGCTTTATGTCAGCTTGTGCATAGGATTGCTCCCTGTGGAAGCTGAATCTTGAAGCCTACCTACCCATACAGTGGCACCTTGGTTTAAGAACAGCTTAGTTTATGAACAACTTGGATTAAGAATGCTGCAAACCCAGAAGTAGGTATTTTGGTTTGTGAACTTTGCCTTGGAAGCAGAACATGTTCCGCTTCCTGTTGAGTGTGTTCCATTTGTAAATTGAGTCCCTCACTGCTATGGGAAAGCACGCCTTGATTTAAGAACACTTTGGTTTAAGAACGGACTTCCGGAACGGATTAAGTTTGTAAACCAAGGTACCACTGTATATGGTATATAGCAAAAGACCAGGAGTGGTTTCTCCTGTGGAAAAGCAAGTTCCTCCAACAAAATACTTCCAAATGCATATTTGCCTCTCCAAATGTGTTTGGAATTTGGGAGGGGAGAAAGGCCATTTACCTTTCAGTGTGGAAAGGCATCAAGGAGGGAAAGGATTAAGCAACCACCTCTTTCTACTGCGTCAGACCAACATGGCTACCTACCTGAATCTAGAACCATGGAAGGCACCACATTGAGCCGCAGGAAATGGAAGTCCATCAACCTCACAAAGAAACTTGCAATACCAAGAACAAACTTACTTGGTCTCTAAGGTGCTACTGGACAATTTTTTTATTTTTTTAAATACATTTCTACTGCGTCAGACCAACATGGCTACCTACCTGAATCTGTCCTAGGGGGTTGTTACATAATGTTATATCTCTTCAACCTTTTCATTTTTGATTAAATGATGCTTTCGTGCAGCCATTTGCTTTTTTATATTTAGAGTAGGAAAGTATATAGGAAGATGGGTAAGCAGCTGAATGAGGCTAACGTGAAACAAAAACTTGCTTTTAACCTTATGAGCTTTATGTAGCTTTATGAGTTTTCAACTTACTCCAGTGTAATGCAACCTGGTAGCTGGTCCCAACTAAGCCAGCTTCACTTAATTGCACCAATACTCTTTCACATGGGAAGGATTGCACTGAAAGATTATAAATCTGGACTGACTCATCCCGTTTTTAATATATATTAAAACAATGCCAACAACATTAAGGACATGGTGCTGAAGTAACATTCCCATACGGTCCAAAGTTCACATCAGAATCTGGCCCAAATTCTAAATATGTATATCCTTCAACATAGTTCCATCCTGCAAGAAATGTGCATAAGACGTTGTTAATTTTTAACCCCAGCTGTCTGCCCCCAACTTAGAGAGAAGAAACTGCTGCAGAGCATTCTGGCTAGACTGATTGGGTACACACAGAGGTCAAATAGCAGCTTCCCCTGAAACCAGCTCTCCTTTCCTGTAAATCATTGAGAGGGTGGAGGAATACAGCTGTGACTCGGCGCTCCAATAAATTCATCCTTCTTGCAGGACTACAACATATTTATATGCTGAGGATACCATGGGCTGAACGCTCAATCATGCACACCTGAGAGACAACTACACTCAGTCTCCCTTTTGCACAGCATGGACTGCGCAGGAAATTATTATTATTTTACTTTTATGCTGTCTTTTCATCCAGAAGGACCCCAGAACCCTGATATATTAATTGGAATAAAGCATAATTGAGGCTGTTCCCTTTCGCTCTTACGTTATGAGCTCCTCCTCCTCCCATTGGGGCTGTCCCCACCCCCTTCCCACCCCATCTGGCTAGCTCTCCATTGCTTGCAGTTGGCTGGTCAGTTGCTTGTTGGCCCTGCCTGCTCTTTTCTGCTCAGCAGGACAGGCCTTTGCACTTACTGAGGGCAAAAAGGGAAGAGTCAGGGGCGACGGCTGTGTCTCAGGTGAGATGCTGAGCAATAGCTGCTGAGTGGCCAGTTCCTGGCCAGTCAGGTTCCCCCTCATTTCCCCCTCCACAGCCTGCTGACACCTGTCAGAACTAGGGATGCTGTGTAATTTCTTCTCTCACTGACTTCACCTTGAGATATAAGCTCAGGTTCTTCAACATTATATTTACTCCAGGGTCCTGCTAAGAAGATAGAGAGTTAGGATAGTGGGATTGATCCTAGAACTTTATTCATCCTCCCCAGTTGTTTTACTTCATGTCAAGCTCCCAGTAAATAATAGGGTTACTCTTTCCCCTTTGCCTCAACATAAGGAAAACTGGCTCTCACTCCAATGCCAGTGTCAGACTGGTCACTGGTCCCTTATTGTGTTACTAGTTAACCAGTGATTGGCTTATGAAGATTCCCTAAATAT